CATACCTAAACGCCATCATTAGGCTGCTAGCCTCACAGCCCAGAACAATCAAATTCACCCGTTTATCTGGAGTAACCACATACTGGATTCACAAAATACAATTCTGTTCTCCCGAAGACAATTTCCAGAAAGACCCGCTGTCCCTATGAGGTACTTAATACTCGGTCCCAGCACAGCTAATCACTGTATGGTTTCTTAGAAGACTGGCTTTTCTCAATTTCTTTCTCTTTGATACTGTACAAAGGGTCCACCAACTTGTTATGAACAAGCATTAAACCTAAAATAATTCAAAACAAAAAGTAGTTAATGCAGGTGGAGGCAAGAGTTCCACGCTTATCAACGATGCCATGCAGGAGCACTCCAATTGTGTCCTAACAGTGACACATCTGTTTTCTGCGTGATCTCCAAAGGATACACACCCTTAGAGTAGAAAAAGAATTTATTATTCCCAGGGAATGCTGGAGTTCATGCACTTTTATAAAATCAGTCACTATGGGTGTTGGGGAGTTAAAGGTTTATCTTTTCAGCCAAGAACAAATTAATCATTTACCTCCTTAGTAAAAGGGGATTTACTGAGTTTACTTAAAGCAGTTTGTGTCCTTTTAAAGCAAAAGAAATAAAGACCCTCATGAGAGCTAGTTTAGTGTCTCGCTTAGAGCGGAAAGGCCTGTGTGAGATCTTGATGGAGAAAATCTGATGCTCAGTGTCACTGCAAGATCACCATTTAGCCCTGGGACTACATCATTGCATTGTCTTTCCTTCTCCTCATATCAAACAGATCTCCAGAAATGGATCCTTGAAGTCATGGATGGAAGAATAATGGCCTTGTATTGTGAGAGGGTTTGATTTTTATTAAGATCATAGTTGTTGATTAAAATGACCAGAGGATGAAAGCTAGGTTTATTCCTCACTCTTATGACCCCTGAGCTTGACCACCTGCTCCCAGACCCACCCCTGCCTCACCTTTGAAGTACTTGACGGTCTTCACTTTCAGCTCCAAGGTGGCATCCTCGTCACATACAAACACTGTGCGGGGATGCTGCTGGAAGGCAGACACAGTCCACATGTGGTTCACTCCCTCCTCAATGGCCTTGTACAAAGCAAATGCCTTGTGAGCACCTGTGATGAGGATCATCACCTGGGGATCAGAAAACAAGCCTGTGATGGAGGACAAGAAGTCCAGACACCTGACTCCGGCCCCCCCAAGTGCTTGTAAGGATTATTGGGTTTTCTTGGTTAGTTTTGGCAGCTGGCTGGTACAAGGATCAAACCCTGGCTGGACCTTGGTGTTATCAGCACTATGTTCTAACCAACTCACCTAACCAGCCAGCGCAGGATTCTTTTTTTCCGTGACTGGTTGGTACAGAGATGGATTATTGTTTTTTTTTTTTTCCTTTTTGTCTTTTTTCGTGTCCGGCAACGGACCACAACCCTCAGTGTCGCGCCCGTACCGGACCGGGACCGGCAACGGGATCGCAACCCTCGGTGCTGCGCCCGCCCCTCGCTCAGCCAGTGAGCGGGAACTGGTCTGTATGTGGGATCCGAACCCTCGGCGGGAGCGCTGCCACGCTCCCAAGCGGCGCACTGTAGCAGTGTGCCACCGGGCCGGCCCCTGGATTATTGTTTTTAATATCACATTGTACATAGTTACCAGGCAACACTCTGAGCTCACTGTTCCACGTGCTTCATCACTCAAATAACCTGACGTAGGTCAGCTCCATGTTATACAAGGAAATGGACTCCAGGGGTTAAGTATCTTGCCCAAGATCATTTGTGACCCCAAAGTTTATGCTCTTGACCATCACGTCACAGTGCCTCCCCAAATCTTTGATAACCATGAAGGTACCCTGTGAATACATCTGTGGTACAAAGGCCCACATCTCTTATCCCAACTGCTGGGTGAGTTTTCCCAAGAACAATTCTGTGAAAGAGGGGTCCCAATCTGCACCACCTACAAGGGGGCTTTGGAAGCAAAGGTGGGAGTTATCTAGGGGTGGGGTGGCTAAGGTTGAATCCCAGAAAGGTCACTACTAAATCTCTTCACTTTCAGTTCAGAGCATTAAGCCCACTAATGTGGCTTGGGGTGATGCTTTTGGTTTATGTAAAACGAAGGCACAGACTCCACACATTATCTGTTACATTAACTGAGCTAATGGTTAGCTCAGTTAGATAAAGTGCAGCCTTATAACACCAAAGTCACGTGTTCAGATCCCCATACCGGCCAGCTGCCAAAAATATACAAACAAACAAAGGACAGTTACATGGGATGGCCAGTTAGCTCAGCTGGTTAGAGTGCAGCCTTGTAACACCAATGTCAAGGGATTGGTTCCCTGTACCAGCCAGCTGCCAAAAAAAAAAAAAAAAGTTACAATATCAAGAACGTAAGTACTGGAAAGTGGTCCAAGCAAACTCAGCTCGATAGATTTCCTTTCATTTTAATTCACTTGTACCATGGAGATTTGAACAGGATTTGCTATTCCTTTGGTAATAGATGACAACACAGAGATATAGAGAGAATGCGACTATTTGTTCAGGAAACCCTAGGAACCCAGAACTCATTTTATTTATTTACTCTTAAACTTTTTATTTATTTTTACATTCTAAGATGTTGTAGAGCAATTGGGGGGGAGTGGGAAAGGGGAAGACAGAGGGTAGGAAGAGAAGGAAGGGAGGCATGGTTGAGGCCTGTGGCACCCCTCTCATTCCAGCAGGGGAGTCCAGGGGGCTTCTGGCAGCAGGCCGGTGGTCATCACTGAGCTGGAAGTGGACATTGGGGGGCGGGGAGCGTAGTAGAAGCCCTCAGCCCCCACTGCTCTGACTCTGGAGCCCAGGGCCTTTCTGGTGGCAGCTCTGGTCATCTCTGGGCTGGGTGTGCATGTCAGGGGGCATGGCTGAGGCCCTCAGCCTGCCATCTCCCCAGCTCAGGAGCCCAGGGCGCTTCTGGCTGGGGCCGGGTGATTATTGCTAGGCTGGATGTGGACATTGTAGTGGGTGTGGTTGAGGCCCTCAGCCCTCCCCCAACTCTGGCTTGGGAGCCCCAGGGGCTTCAGGTCCTTCATGGTGTTAGACCTTTACTGGTTAATATCAGAACTTTGTCTCTGATCTGTGCGTTTTTTGTTTTTCTTTCAGTTCTGTGTTGGATTATTCACTGTTCCCACCAGATGACTGCACTGGAACTAATTTGTTGTCCTTTGCTTACTTCTATAATGGGGGAACTTCCTGTGGGGACCAGCACTTGAGCCCTGTGGTTGAGCTAAATTCCTGCTTTGCTGCTGATTTCCTGGGGAAGGCTTTTTGTGCAGCTCAGGTTTTAATTGTTGACCTTGTAAGCACTTCTGGGTCTTATGAGGTCTGGAATACCTGGTTTGTGTGGAAACCCTGGTCTAGACCTGAGTTTTTTTTTTTTTTTTTTTTTTTAAGGTGACCAGTAAGGGGATCTTAACCCTTGACTTGGTGTTATCAGCACCATGCTCTCCCAAGTGAGCCACAGGTCGGCCCCTAGACCTGAGTCTTTTCAGCAAACTGCCCCCTCCCCCACCCCCCAGTTCTATATTCCTGTCTCCACTGAGTGCGCTTGTGCTGATTGGAGAGCAGATCAGCTGTTCATGCCATGCCCCAGTGTTCATCTGGTGGGCCCGTCTCTCCTACTGCCTCCACTCCAAACACTTCCCATAGAATGCACCATGTGCCAGTCCCTTGCAGTGACTCACCGGCCTCTGAGTGGCTCCTTTTTTCAGTTGTCTGTGGCCTCTCACTCCTGTATCAGTTCATGGGAACCCTGTTAGTGGTCTTGCTGGCTTGAGGGTCACCAAGGCCCCCTTCTCCCCTGCAGCCTCCAAACAACTTCATATGAAGGGCACAGCAGGCAGCTTTTGCTAGCTCTTGCTCCACATGCTCACCAGGGCCAGCCTTGAATTGGTCGGGGCTCAAAACAGTCACAGCAGTCCTTTCTTTCTCTCATTGTGGCTTCTCCTGCCTTCACGAACTCTGTAGGTTTCTCCTCTTCTTCCCCGAGCTCTAGTGGCCCCAGCTTGGCAGTTGTTGCTTTTTTTTTTTTTTTTAAGATGACTGGTAAGGGGATCTTAACCCTTGACTCAGTGTTGTCAGCACCACGCTCTTCCAAGTGAGCTAACCGGCCATCTCTATATAGGGATCCGAACCTGTGGCTTTGTTGTTGACAGCACCACACTCTCCCAAGTGAGCCATAGGTCAGCCCTAGTTGTTGCTTTTTAATAACTGTACATTGGTTGATTGTGGGAGAGGGTGACACTGAGTACTGTCTATTCCACCATCTTGACCAGAAGACCCTAGAACTCAGTTTAGAAAGGAGAATTTCCCAATTTCCAGTCCCAGGTCTTCCTCAGATCAAGATACCCTCACATGATAAGGATGGCCCTCAAAGTCTAGTGTGTACATGTGCAAGGTCAAAACCACCAGAGTAACCCCCTCAGTACCGATTCAAGGTTACCCAACAGAAATATGGATGCCTTCATTTATTTACAGACATTCATTCTAAACAGGGAACTTCTTCACTGATTTAGATGCTAGTTTATAGACTTGGGCAAGAAATCAGAAGGTAAAATGTCTGTAGCTGCTTTCCACTGAACACACTCTCAGAAAGGAAGAGAAAATGCTTCTAAAATTCTAATGAAAGACAAGAAGGAAATTGGAACCATAAAAAATTCGAATCCAAATGATACCAAATTTTCTAGGGGTAAAACTAAATTCAGTTTGAGACACTTATACTTTAATCACGTTTTTCCACATGCATCAATCCCCAAGCACAGAGCTATAATCACAAGCATCCCTGGGTCACAAGAGAAGCATCCCTTCAAACAGTAACCTCCACCAAGTACAGGGAACAAGAGAGTCCCTGTTAGTACCTGGGCAGGTACAAATTCATATTCCAACATTAGTGATGCTGGGGACCGGCCCGTGGCTCACTTGGGAGAGTGCGGTGCTGATAACACCAAGGCCCCGGGTTCGGATCCCATATAGGGATGGCCGGTTCGCTCACTGGCTGAGCGTGGTGCTGACAACATTAGTGATGCTGGGCTCCTCTCTGCCCATGAGTAGCACAACAGGGGCATGTAAGCAGAGGCCAGGGAACATGGAGCCCTGGGCAGTCAGTCAAAGACACAGAAAGATCGTTTAAAGGATTCACCTCATATTGGGAACAATGGGTACCTCCAAAGAGGAAGGAGGGACAGTGATAGGGTCAGCTGGGATTTTAGCCTTATTTATAATGTCTTCATCTTTAATAAGAATGAATTCACGTGGTCCAAGTATAGTTAAAATTAACGATAAAAAGACAAGTCCACGCCCCACCACCCACAACACCTGGTGGATTCCTTGTGCCCTTACCTCTCTAGCATCCATGACAGTGCCAACACCCACCGTCAGGGCCATGGTGGGCACCTGGGTGAGATCTCCATCAAAGAACCTAGCATTGGCCAGGATGGTGTCCATGGCCAATGTCTTCACACGGGTCCTGGACAACAGACTGGAGCCTGGCTCATTGAAGGCAATGTGTCCATCGGGGCCAATGCCTGTGGGAATAGATAGCCAGGGCAGCCCTGTGAGTCCCAGGGATCCAAGATTTCAAGAATGGACAATCTCTTCCCTAACTAAGGTCTGAAATAAAAAATCCTTGAAAACTATGTCTTTTTCTCATTTGAATCCCTGGGCAGGCACCCCTTATGCATGTGACCTGCCCCCTCCCCACCATTTCTGTTTAAGGCACAACCAGACATGGTTAACTTGCTCCCACCCTCAAAAAGCTACGTAAAGAGCACTCCAAATAGCTTCTACTTCCCCAGATCATTGGAAAAGTGTGTCTTCTCTGTCTCTCCTGCCTGTAGTTATGGGGTCCTGCTGCTGGGATATAGTTGCAGTGAATGAAATACACACAGGGGCTACCAAGTTTATAAAATCTCAGAGCATGAGAGCTCCTGCCCTCCTCCTCCCACCTTGAAGTATAGAGTTAAATCTAGAGCAGTAAAAGGCAGTCCAAGTTTACACTCCTGTGGGTGACTTCTGAGGTGGCAACAGATGGACATGTAAAAGGGCAGCCCAGGGTAGGAACAAGAGCACAAATCTGAGAGGCACTCACCCTAGATTCCTGCCTTCTCTCCACCGCTCCTGGCTGGCTGACCTTGAGTGAGTCACATAACCTCTCTGGGGTTCAACTGGCTATCTATAACATGCAGGTTCTATGTGGAACCTTCTGGAACTACATGACTCCATGATTTTAAATGTTCAGATAAATTCTATGATTGACCCATAAAACCTTACAATTGGGGAATAGGGAGAATCTCAGAGTCCAAATCTAAACCTCTTGATTTACAGACAAGGCATCAAAGTGCAGAAAGAGATCTCCAAGATCTCACAATTCCTGAGTACCAGTGCTAGGACAGGGACCTAGAGCTCGCACTTTGATAAATGACTCCACTGTCACTAGCACAGACAGAGGACATTATTTGGAGACAGGCATGGTGTCTTGTCCTTCTCTTTCCTATGCATGGGTTTTTTTTGTTTTTGTGGGGGGGCAGCTGGCCAGTACAGAGGTCAATTCTGGATCTTGCTGTTATCAGCACCATGCTCTAACTGACTAAGCTAACCAACCAGCCTTTCTCATGCATTCTAACCACCTGTGGTCTGGCCCTGGATGTGTGCTACAGTGTGTCAAGCTTACCTCCAACAAATAGCTCAATCCCGCCTGCAGCCTTGATCTTCTCTTCGAAGGCATCACACTCAGCCTGCAGGTCAGCTGCATTCCCATTCAGAATGTGGGTGTTATCTGGGTGGATGTCAATGTCCTTGAAGAAGTTGTTCCACATAAAGGAATGGTAACTCTCTGGGTGGTCTCGAGGAAGGCCTGTGGGGCCATGGGGCACTCAGTCATGCCCAGGATGAACCAGAGCCTTCCTACCAAAAAGGATGTTAGGACACCACCCCCAGACCTGCGGGGACACTCTGGGGACTGCCCATCAGGGAGCCTTGGGCACTAGCCTTCTGAATCCCAGTCTCTTGGGATAGGTTGAGCTAGTGTCCATAAATGTCCAGCCACTCACTGCCACCACTTATGACCACAGGGCTGGGCTGGAGTAGCTACACTCCAAGGGCATGGGGAATGCCCTCATTCTCATCTCCTTTTCACAAGGGAATTACGATAGGCTGGAGAAACTCTGGAATTCTGGAGGTGGCCTGTACCTGGAGTAGCACTGGGTCCATCTGGGATAAGAAGCAAGCACACCCCTCATGCTATACCTCCCACCACCAGTTATATCCCACTCAGCCTGATCCCCAACTCAAACACGAGGTGGTCAGAGAGAATTATCTCAGGCCTTCCCAAAATGGATTTTTTTTCAGCCAAGAAGAAAAAGAATGTTTAAAATGAATGTTTAATGTTAAGCATTAAGAATATTTAAAGTCACCCTTGAGGGAGGGGAGAAAAGAAGGAATTGGTAAAGGGACATGAAAATCATCTACATTGTATATTGATAAACTAAAAAAAAAGTCCCCCTTAAAAAGGAAGGAAATTCTGACCCACGCTAAAACATGGATGATCCTTGAGGACATTATGCTAAATGAAAGAAGCCAGTCACAGAAAGAAAAATACTGTATGATTCCTCTTATATAAGGTACCTAGAGTAGTCAAATTCATAGAAATAGGAAATAAAATGGTGGTTTCTTGGGGCTGGGAAGAAGGGGAAATAGGGAGTTATTGTTTAATGGGTTTAGAATCTCAGTTTTACAGGCCAGCCCGTGGCTCATTTGGGTATAAGGTACCTAAAGTAGTCAAATTCATAGAAATAGGAAATAAAATGGTGGTTTCTTGGGGCTGGGAAGAAGGGGAAATGGGGAGTTATTGTTTAATGGGTTTAGAATCTCAGTTTTACAGGCCAGCCCGTGGCTCATTTGGGAGAGTGTGGTGCTGATAACACCAAGGCCATGGGTTCGGATCCCTATGTAGGGATGGCCGGTTAGCTCACTTGGGAGAGCTGGTGCTGACAACACCAAGGCAAAGGTTAAGATCCCCTTACCGGTCATCTTTTAAAAAAAAAGAATCTCAGTTTTACAAAATGAAAAGAGGTCTGGAAGTTGGTTACACACAATGTGAATGTACTTAACACTATTGAACTGCACACATAAAAGTGGTTAAGATGGTATATTTTATATTATATGCTTATATATATTTTACCACAATTTTTTAAAAAAGAATGTTTAAAGTAAAACCATTACAAAATGATTGGGAGTGGGGAGGTGATAGAAGACAAAGGTGTAGCTTTTCAGCTGCTGAAAAGACACCAGTGTACCTGCAAGAAAAGGGAGCTGGAGGATGCATACTAGAAAGTCCAGACACAGACTGTAGGGGACACACCATAGCCAGGATCCTATTTGCGATGTTTGTTCCAGAAAGAAATGGCATGGAGTTTCAGGAGAAAGCAGAGGAGGAGATACTCTAATTATGGTTTATTATGTACAACAAACTTCCCCATCTATATCGATATCATTTAATGTGAGGTCAGTTTTATTAGCCCCATTTTATTCTTTTTTTTTTGCAACTGGCCAATACAGGGATTTAACCCTGGACCTTGGTGTTACTGGCACCATGCTCTAACCAACTGAGCTAACCAGCCAGCCGTATTGCCCCATTTTATAGCTGAGTAAACCAAGGCCTAGAAGGGATAGGTATTGATAATTGAGCCTGTCACCAAATGTCACAGGCTCCCTGAGACGTCCTGTTCTTCTCCAGGGCTGAGCCTGTGACAGGAGAAGTATGATTCTTCTGGAATCAGGGAAGAACGTTGAAAGAAAAAACTCACCCACATACTCATCCATGTTGAAGGTCTTCACATATTTAAAGGACAGGTCTCCATTCTTATAGTACTCAATCAGCTTCTTATAGCAGCCGAGTGGGGTGCTCCCTGCAAGAAAGGCCACAGCCATGAATGCCCCTTCAGCTCCAACCTCCTGGAAGCCCAGAGGCTGCCCAGGAACAAGTCAGGGCTGCTCCACAAGGAGGAGAACCTGTCAGATCTGAGAGAAACAAGTCAAATCTGAAGTCCTACCCAATGCTCCAATCCTTACTGTCAGCTTCCCATTAACTGCTTGTTTAATGCCTACTTCCCCACTGGACTACAAGCTCCAGGAGGGCAGGGCTGTGTCTGTTTTGTGGACTGCTGACTCTCCAGTACCCAGCATACTGATGACTGAAATCACTCTGACTAGTACCTGAGTGAACGTTTAAGAGACAGGATGTTAGTGTAGCCCCCACAGGACCTGAAACATTGGTGGTTTCACAGGTACAGGCATGTACCACTCCCACAAACCACTAGAGCACAGCTCAGTAAACTTTGGCCCAAAGGCCAAATCTAGCCTGCTGCCTGTTTTGTATGGCTCATGAGTTAAGAATGGCTTACATTTACATTTTTAATAGTTTTTATTTATATTTATTTATTTATTATTATTTTATTTTTATTTATTTATTTTTTAAAAGATGACCGGTAAGGGGATCTCAACCCTTGGCTTGGTGTTGTCAGCACCATGCTCGGCCAGTGAGGTAACCAGCCATCCCTATATAGGATCCGAACCTGTGGCCTTGGTGTTATCAGCACCACACTCTCCCGAGTGAGCCATGGGCCGGCCCAGTAGTTTTTAAAAATCGAAAAAAGAACAACATTTTGTAGGGGCTGGCTGGTTAGCTCAGTTAGGTAGGGTCTGGTGTTATAACATTAAGGTCAAGGGTTAGGATCCCCGTACCAGCCAGCCGCCCCCCTCAAAAAAGAAAAAAAGAATATTTTGTGGCATGTGAAAATTGTATAAATTCAGATTTCAGTGACCGTAAACAAAGTTTTATTGGCACACAACCACACTCATTCGTTTATGTATTGTCTACAGCTTTCACACTACAAAGGCAGGCAGTTTCAACAGAGACTGTATGGCCAGTGAAGCCTAAAGTATTTACTATTTGGCCATTTACAGAAAAAGTTTGAAGACCCCTACTATAGTGGATGGGTCAGGTAAGGCCATTGGGGCAAGTCCACCCACCTCTGAAAGAAATAATCAGGACACTTACCTTGAGGAGCTGGGGTCAAAATATCTTCCTGTAAAGGCAACATTCTGATTTTTTTCCCCCAAAAGAAACAAGGACTGTTTTTTACTTATGTCCTGTGTTTAATTAAGCCTTATAGAAAATTATTTAAAGCAACTAAACCAACCCATAAAGGAAGCTGGGTCCTCTGTTTTGTGTGTGCAGCGGGCAGTTGAGTGCTCTCAGCGCCAGTACCTCAGAGCCCTCGTTAAGTCCCTTCGCTGAGTGAGCCCACATACACGGCCCCTTAAAAGTCTCTGATGCTCGCTCTCTCCATCCCTGTCCATGGCACCCTCTTCGTCCTACAACGCACCCGTTGGGAGCCCCAGGGTGAAGTATTTGTCTGGCCCTGGGTTAAACTGGATGATGCGGTTCCTGATGTATTTGGCCGCCCACTCGCTGGCCTGAAAATAGTGGTCGAGGATAATGAGCTTCATCCTGTCCTGCAATGGGGGAGAGGAGGTGACAGAAGGAATCACTGGTAAGAAGCAGGGGCAGAGAAAGGGATGGAGGGGCTTGAAGTGGGGGGAAGAGTCTCTATCACCCAGCAACAACCCCTTTTCCAAGTGTCTGAGGAACTCTTAACACGTTGGGCTCAGCGCCCCCCCCATCCGCCACCTACCACCTCCACCCACCAGGAGGCGCTACTGTGGGGGCACACCTGGGGTCCAATCTCAGCTCCTCCATTTAGTTCTCTGAGCCCATTTCCCTCTGTGTAAACATGGGGACAACTGTACCTACTTCACCGATCTCACGATGGGAAATATTAAATGAGAGAATGCATGTGAACCACATAGTATTTAATATGTTGGCTATTATTATTGTCTTGTAGCTCGACTCAGCACCCCCTCCCCACATCCCTACCCCGACAAGGGCTGGATACTCCATCCCATACCCTTCCTCAAGAAGTAGCGGGGTCATGGGGTCATCTACGGTCACTAGAGCAGGTGGGGCATTTGGTTCTGCCTTAGGAGAGGTGCTCCCACAAGCCCGCCTTGCTTTGCGAACCCTTCTGGGTCGTCAGTTTTCCCCAAAGCACAACGGGGTAAAGGTGATCGCCCCAGAAGGAGGGCTTCTGTTCCCCCAGCACCGCGGTCTATCTGAACAGGAAAGCCCGAGGCAGAGGTGGCCCGCGCGGCCGTCGGTGTGATCGGGTTCCCCCACCCTGATTACGACCCTATCGCCCCTCCAGCCCCGCGGAAAGCGGTGAGCGGCTCGCCGGGGTCCTGGCCCCGGGGCGCGGAAGGACCGGGGCAGCGCCCTGGAACCCCCCGGGAGGAGGAACCCAGCCAGCTCCCCACTTACGCGGACGACTCCTGCGGCGGCTGCAGCGACGGCGCTGGCAGCCTGGGGCCCGCACGGGTCACGTGGTGGCGGGTCACGCGGCGCCTTGCCCCGCCCGCACGGCTGACTCAGCGTGGTCGCAGCTCGGCCCGGACTCTGTCGGACTAGGGGCCTCCAGCAGCCCCGGCTTTCACCTGGGCCCGGAGAGCGTGCAGGCCCGGGAAGAGACCGTGAAAAACACTCTTGCCCGTGGGAGGCGGGGTCGGAGCTTGGTTTTGTGCAGGAGGAGGGAGACTTGGGGGCTCCAGGTTGCTCCCAGGAATGTGGTCCCCTGGCTCCGGCGTCTGGGACCGGGTATTCACTGCCGGAGGCGCTACTGGACGGGGAAGGGGGGAGGAAGAGCAGAATCGCTGCCTTCAAGTCTCCCAGAGTTGGGCCTGGCTCTGCCTTCAGTTTCTTTGTTTATATGCATTTTATTTACCTAAGTATTACAACTTATTTGTTTTAAATATAATTAGATTTTCTGTGCCTTTTTTTTTTTTAGATCAAACTGCAGCAATATGAGGTCCTTCAAAAAATTCACGGAAAGATTCGTGTTATCTTAATTATATTTTTCCACGAACTATTTGAAGTACCCTCATATACACTAAAGACAAAGGCAGGTCCCTTATTTCCCCTAACTTCCCACACCAAGATAACATTGCCAACAGTTTAGAGTACATTCTAAATTGTTTTTCTGTGGAGATGCTTACACTACTATTTTGCACACTATATATGCAGGATATATATACCAAGGATCAGATATTTGACCTACATTATTTCACTTAATCCTTATTAAACCCCAGTGAGGTAGGTATGCCATTACTCTTTTACATGTGGGGAAACTGAAGCTTAGAGAAAGAGATTAACTTGCCAGAGGCACAAATAGTTTCTGTAAGACTTCAATTCAGGGTATCTGTCCAAGTCCAAAGGCCATGCTTTTTACTAATAGCCTACACTGCCTCCCAACTGGTATGACAGCAGATTTTGGAAACTATATATGTCAGACCAAGAGAGACACGTTATTCTTTCAGGTCAACATTCGAGTGTACCAGACTTTGGGGAGAACTTTACACGTTGAGGTTAGAAGGAAGGACTTGATATCCAGCATTAGTAACACCTTCCATTGATACAGGGCTTTGTCAAGAGCTTCGGTGCCTGTGATTTCCATATGATTCCTCTTAATAGGCAGATATGACCACTGCCATTTTACGAATGTGGACGCTGGGGCTCAAAGGAGTATAGAGACTTGAGGTATATGGTCTCACAGTCTGAGACATTCTGGACTATGGTCAGCTCTAGGGAGCAGTGGAGAGACCTCCCGAATCCGCCTAGGTCTCCAGCAGCGAAAGGCCAAAGGAACACTGGCTTCATGGCTACAGCAACAGGGCCTTCCTGATCAGCCGGGCGGCCACATTCTGCAGTTCTCGTGACTCTGCTCACTGTGGACAGCCCCAGGTGCTCACCCTATCCCTTGGCGCTGCTGCAGCTCCAGACCACTTTGATAGGGGTCAGCTTCATCTGGTGAGACCCTGATGAGACCAAGATGGTGGAGCTGATACCTTTATACTTTGTGGGACTTGTTCTTTGGCCTCAATGTGGATGCATTTTTGTTTTCTTGTTTTTAAATTCAGTGAGAAATCTCATTTCAGCAAGAGGCTTGCAGATGTTTCACAATGAAGTTCCAAACCTAATCTTTGAACACATCAGATAACACAGCCTGGTCAGCAGCATCTGCACCCAGATCTTTCCAGGAGAATGATTTAATGACTTTAATTGAGCCAGTTTACCCTGAGTTATCCTTTCTGTGACTCAGGGGACTAGTGCAGAGTCTCTGTTGAGTCTGGAGGATCTGGAGTCAGACAGCTCGGGGACTCATTAGAAAGACCTGGGTTTGAATTCTGGTTTAGTCACTCTCTGGTTTTGAGTGAGTATCTTAAGCAAGTGACTCAACTTCTCCAAGTCTCAGTTTTCTTATCTGGGACATGGGAATTGAATGGAAATTAAGTAAACATGACCCCATGTCGCTGTTGTATGAAATGAAATATTAGCATAGTTTGGCATTCATGGCCAGCCACGATTACTCCGTATTTCCTCCTAGCCTCCTTACAGTCCACTCTCTAAGCACACTGAAATGCTCTCTAGTCTTAACCTCCTGTTCCCTTGTGCTCCTCCCACTCCATATCTGTGTTTAAACTGTTACCCACACCCATCCTTCCATCCTCTCATCTTCAAATGAAAGTTGGCAAATGAAAAGAATTGTGAGTTCATCCATGCAATAGAACACTCTGCAACTCTGGTATGGATGAATGTTTTCATACCCTCTAACATGCCCTTGGCTTTGGGGAAACACCTGTCCCCATGCTCAAGAAATCCTGCTCAGGTTTATGTGGAGCCGGCCCTATCCTTTGACCTAAGATCTAACCAATTAGAGACTCCATGGCCCTTGCCGTGAGTGGTTCAAGACTTGGCATGCAGGAAGACACAGCCCCCCTTCTCCCTTGCTGCTTTCCACTATAGAAGATGGAAAGTCAACTACTCTCACAACTAGGGAGAAGCCAGTTAACCTAATCCTGACCAGTGAGGTACAAGGATGGCTTCTGGGAAGATATTTTACTTCCTGAGATAAAAGCAGAGTATTGCAAAGACATACTAAAAACAGACCCGTTTATCTGAGAAAAGTTACAAATATCTAAATTACATACCTCTTTCTTTCATTATATTTGGATTTGGCTCCCTTAATAGTTCCTTGTTTTGCAGAATTTGCTTATATAATTCCTTGCAGTAACAGTCTGTGTCACATCTACATGCATGGCTTCTGCAGTGGTCACATCCAATTTATTTTGTTCTTTTGGCCATTGAACATTTATTAATGAGAAATCATGCTCAATATTGGCATTACGAGCCAGTATACCAAACATGTACTGGTATAAAGTCAGCAACTCTGAGAATTGCTCTTCAAATTTGATTGGTCAAAGCACATAATACCATCTTTCATAATATAACTTGCTTTTCCATTCTTCAGGATTATATTGCATCTCTTGATCAATGACTTTTTATTTTTATTTTATTTTATTTTATTTTATTTTTTTCCAAGAAGAAAATTCATGTTTATTTATTTTTTTTAATTTTTAAATTTTTAAATTTTATTTTGTTGATATACAATGAGGTTGATTATCGTGGCCGATTACCGATCAATGACTTTTTAAAATGTTGTCCACTGACAAAAAGGGGCATTGTCATCAATTTTTATTCCTTCAACACTACACATGATGATTCTACTTCTTCCTATACTGAAAGTACAACATCCATGTAAAAGAATTGATTTTTTCTTTTTTTTTTTTTTTTTCTTTTTGTCTTTTTTTACTGACCGGTAACGGGATCGCAACCCTCGGTGTTGCGCCCACACCGCACTCAGCCAGTGAGTGGGAACCGGTCTCCACATGGGATCCAAACCCTCGGCGGGAGCGCCGCTGCGCTCCCAAGCAGCGCACTCTCCAGTGCGCTACCGGGCCGGCCCTAAATTTATTATTTTTTCATATAAAACTTTATTTGCTAAATTTTCCCATAAAATATCTAATTTTATTCATAAATATTAACTTACCTATTGTACCTAAAATAATGACTTCCTTAGAAAATATCTTTGCATTTGACTTATCTAAATACTTGCCCTATGAAACTCAACATATAACTTGAGGCTTGCTTGACTTCATTGGCACTGTGCTTCAGACAACTCACTAACTGGTATAAGAGGACCATAAAATGCATAAACTTTATAGACAAGGTCATGCTCTAAACAAACAAAGCTGCTGAATCACTAGCCCCAAATATAACACCTGGCACACAAAAGGTATATGTAAATATCTGTTAATAAATAAATGATTAAATATAATGTAATCTCAAAATAAATCCTATGTTTGAATGCCATGCCATGATTCATGGCTTATTTCAAGTAAGGGCATTGGAATCCTTGTAG